TTTGCAACTTTAAACAAAGGTAACTTGACAAGAAATTATTCAAATTTAATAAAAATTTTTTTAAACAAATTCTATAAAAATTTAGAATTAATTTAAAAAAAAATTTATTAAATATAGTTAAGTTCTTGCTAAGTTATTTGGGCTTAAAGTTTCAAAAAAATTTACTTAGAAAAAATTTGGTGCGTTTCTATTGACTCATCCCCATATGATAAGGATATATATGTTTACATAGTTAATACCAAATTTTATATCGATTTGGTAGTACACGTACCTTGTAAAGTATCAAAATTTTTTTTTTAAAATGAGGGACTAAATGATGCTTTTAAAACTTTAGCTATTACATAACCAATATCATCTACATTTTTCACCGCCTATGCTATTAAAAAGTCTGAAAATCTTTTTGGCATTTTCTTTTTCGAAGATTAGCCTCTGTAATTCTATCTTAATCGGGGATATGCTCTCTAATTTTATCATTAACTAAAGAATTAAACGCATCTTCATTATGTGATTGTCTATAAAAATTGTACCATAAACTATATCCTTTCCCAAAGTTATAATAACAGCGAATTACATCTTGATTAGTTTTTTGATTATTGTCTTCAGCACTGTTGATCTTTTCGTTTAATTCGTGAAAATTAATTGAATCTTTATTCATTTCGAGAGTAACAAACTTCAAAGTAATAATATTTTCTGAAGAAATTTGCTAAGTAGAATTAGTAGTTAATTCATTGATTAGTTTTTTCAGCATAGGAGAATCATCTCTATTAGTCATTTTCTTGACTTTTTTATTAAGAGATTTTTTGGTTGAATAATTAACTTGCTTTTTACTACTAAGATTGCAAGAGTTTTTAATTGGTATTTCTACTATTTCGTTTGTACCTTCCATTTCATCTTCTTGAATTACTTCTGTATACCAGTATTTTGTGATCATAATAAAATCAGAAAATCTTATTTTTTTATCATAAAAAAAAAATACTCTAGCCAAATCGAACATTGAAGTGGATCTAGATAGAAATAATTTTTTTAAAAATTCTTGAAATATCAAATAAAGGCCTATTTGAACGGAATTCCGAATGTAGCACAAGTTGATATGAACTTTAAAAGCAACTTAAGTTGATTTTAAATTTGATACAATATAATATGTAATCTTTGATGTAACAATAGTTAAATAAATTACATCATATCATCATGATATCTTAACAAAAATCGGCCAATAGTCGATGTAAACCCTTTATAAGACGTAAAGACTTTGATTTTCGTATTAAGGTTTTACAAGATCCGGCGAACACATCAATCAAATACATACCTCTGCAAGATTCTCAAAGTTTTAGATACAAATATAGCATTATTAGAATTACGTATAATGCTAATAAATGTTTCCGTTGAGTTCTTATAAGTTTTCAGAATTAGATCGTACAGTCGACTTGGAATATACCGAACCTTCTTCTGAATATAACGAATTCAAAATTCAAAATTTCACAATAATTTAATATAAAAACTGTAATGGATTCTCAAGAAACGTGGTAATTTTCTATAATGAACTTTTTTTTTCTTCCAGAATCTTCACTTCGTGAGAGTAATCACCATCTCACCAATCATATATGCAAAAACTTCATGTAATGCTTTTAATAAATTTGTAATGCATAGCACTATGAATAAACCCTATCTTAAAGTGACTTAAATTCCAAACAACGTACTTGATGAAATAATTTGTAATAAACTAATTTCATTGTAGGTTGAATTGGAATGACTCGGGCACATTTTGGAATTCTATTACTACCTATTTTATTTGAAATCAAGTTAGATGCACTATTTTTATTTGAAAATCAATTTAGATGCATTTTTTAAATCCATTTCGACATACACTTTTACTTATATGCAGCAACGTTAGTATTTGCAAGTTTAAATTATGTAATATAATCTATCTTTTTTTTTTAATAAAATAAAATAAAACTCATTCATCATTACTTAATAAAGTAATCAAGGTTAGTGTCTTTTAAATAGTTTTAATTATGAATGTCATAATGATAAAGGTCATTTTTAACACTTGTTACTTAAATTATAATGCTCAATTATAGGTGCGTCATTAGTTACGGCTCAATGTTTTTAGTTTATAACCCGATTTTTTATATAGGACGTAACTAAGTGATGTAATAAGTCTGCATCTATACATCTATGATGTAATGATGATATCTTTTATTCGTAATATTTTTAACGCAACATTAATCCAATAAAAATCCCTAACACTAGCGTTTTCAAAAAAAAAGAAAATTAAAAAAAAAATTAAAAAAAAAATTAAAAAAAAAATTGGATTTCTCTTGAAAAAAGATAAGTATGCCTGATCCGCGAAAAAAAGACGAGCTGCCTGATCCACAAAAAGTTAAAGATATTAGTATCGGTATATTAGATGTTCATTTAATCATAGATTATTTGTTTATTTTTGTACTTAAACGTTTATATTTTTCTATTTAAAAAGGAAGAGACCCTAATTCTGCTGTAATATTTCATGCGCTTCCAAGACGTTCCTATACAGTGGATCCTAATGAAGTTCCTGATGACAGACAGAAATGGCAAGACCAAGATCATCGTATATACGTTAATGATAGAGATAGAAAAGGTACTTATAAATAAAAAAATCTGGATTCGATTATACAGCAGAAATTTGTTAACTTTTAATTTATAAATAGGTATTGTCGGCCATTTAGAAAAAGATTGGGAAGAATCTATCGCAAGTGATCAGAAAAATGCTGCAATGAAGGATGAAAAAAATTCTACAGATGATAGCAAAGTATTGGAAAAATCCGAAAATAAGTAAAAGGTTTTTTCGCTAGAGGTGTTAATATAATCATCAACTATTTACAAAATTTGTTCTTGGATATAAACGTGGTATAATAATAAACGTATGATGAATGAGGGGAGAGATTAAGAAGCCTTTTGTTTAACTTTTCTTTTTTGAATTGTTATGCTAAAATGTGGGCTAATTTATAAATATGTTATCAAATTAACTGTTAGTTATCCATTAGCGTCTTTACATTTATTACTATATTTAAATATTTTACACGTATTCAACTCTACACATTTATGCCTCACATCGGTTCTTGCGTTAGATGAGGTGCATGACTTGATCCAAGGTGTTTAATCGTTATATGAGACACAGCTATTATCTGAGTCAATGACGATTGTTTATTCAATATTAATCTGAGAGAAGCAAGATCATATTTACAAATTTAGATTTTGAAATAAAGGTAATAATGAATCCCGATATTAATAATATAATAATTCATGTTTTATAGCAAGACGAAGTTACAAATATTAACAGTTTACATAAGTAAGCATTTGGCTCGATAAATCAGGAATGCTTCAACTTTCGAAAATTGAGTTTATAGGACACGTGATGATCGGCAACATATTTAACCAATGTAAATCGATCAAAACAAATGTTTGTTTTGATTTTACCGTCTTTCATTATGAAATTTAAAATCATTACACTTATTTTTATGAAACTTGGATCAAAAAAGAAGCGTTAGTAGATACGAAATATTTGAATGAAAAAGTAAGTATATTATTAACAATTATTTAGATGGAATATACAAATGCTAGATGTAAAATTTGTATATAAGTAAGGCGAAGAAAGGCCGACTGATTTATGTGGCGGGAGGAGAAGGGATCAGTTATATACCATTCTTCGCCAAAAGGGTCCACCGATTCTGGATGAGGAAATCGGTTACGACCTTTTCTTATATAACAATAACTTCGTCAACATATTCTTGTATTTACCATCTTTTTTTTTTATTTTATGCTTATTGTGAAATGTAATGCATTTCTAATTTAAAATTTTTTTTATATATTGTTATCTGGAGAAGTCACGTGGCACGTGACTACGGCTACTCCAAATTAGGGTAACCCGGCCCACTTAAGCTATTTTGGCTACGTAGGGCACGAAGGCCATGTCGGGAAAGTAGGGGTGGGAACGAAGTAGTAGAATTAGCAGACGTAGTAGTTGTAGCAGACGTAGAATAACAAATGTAAATAAAGAATTTTAAGATAAATAAAGGCCCTAGAGGAGGGGGGACCGAAACTTTGCTTTATTAAAATAATAACTGGCTCCTTACATCATAATAAATACATAAACGTCTCCCTTGCTACATTAACTAATCGCTAAATCCCCAGACATCAAAACCCGCTTCTTGCAATTGTCTGTTCTATCTCAAAGTATTACACCCCATCCGGCTGTTGTATCCTAAAGTACAGGATCAGCCGTGGTTATATCGTTCCACTATCCCGAAGGAGTGAGGATAGTGTGGTTATACGTGTTGTCCAATTACCCCGAAGTAGTGAGGTAATTGAGGAATAGAGTTAGTAAGTTCAAGAAAAGGAAAACGCAAGACAAGTAAAGAAGAAATACTCACCTACGGACCCAAACCACCGACCAAATCTAAACGCCTCTTTTCGACTAAGCCAACCGTAGGTTACACGAGAACTTGGATCGTGGAGCGACTGACTCGCCGTATCGCCCGATTTCAATAGATAACATTTGAAAGTGAAATTTTTTTTATAAAAAGAATTTAGTTAAGCAAACTTCGTATGATGACCAAAGTTCCCGACGACGACAAAACATTGACGAATTTATTATTAATTTCATTTTATTTGCGTTAATTTAAAGTACTTCTGATTAATATAAGTGATTTATAAAAAAATTGGTATTTAAAAAAGCATTTAAAAAAGTTTCGAACATTATGTACAAATATATTGAGCATTAAAAATTCATATAACTTAACAAAAAAATACACAAACAAATTTAGACTAACAAAATAATAACGATATATGTAAAAAATTAATTATTTTATTTATTTCGAATAACTCAATAAACGTAATATTTATTATAGTCAGAAAGTATTATAATTACGATTTTTTTTAAGTATTTGGAATATTCCATTGCCTTTTAAAATGATTATAATCTTCCAATTTATGCAATGGCACAAAGTTTTTATTAATAATTTTTTGTTGTTGCGTTCTGGATTCAAATCAATAATCAGAATTATAATATCATTAAAAATAAAACCTACAATATTTTCTGGTTCAATTGCATTCCTTGATTAGTTTTTATAATTTTATTTCGATTTTCATTCTTTTTTCATTTATTGTTAATGGAAATTTGGTTACGGCAATCAGCATATATTTTTAAAATAGTGTTTATTGAATTTTATGCTTTTAACGATTGCTTTTCACATTAAAAGAATCAAAAAAAAAAAAAAAAATTACTAAATCAATTATGAAAATATAAGCCATGCTAAAATATACACCTATTGTCAATTCTAGCCAAAAAATCTAGCTCACTCTAAAAAAAAAAAAACGGAAAAAAATGCCTCTAAATAAATTTTAAAATTTCATATCAAAATATGTCCAAATTTCAACATCAGCCGCAACAATAATTAACTAAATTTCTTTAACTACGTTTCTAACCAGTAAGAAGCACGAGTTAATTTGCTCGTTTTCATTTGCATATATTTTATATAAATAAACACCACTCTCCGCAACTTAACGGCACCTCTAGTTACATGATCTACAAAAACTAATCAGTATAACATTTCGCTATTATATAGCATAGTTTGAAAAATAGAACAATACAATTGTATTGGAAAAAGAAAATATTTATATGTTGCATATGCGATATTGTCGCACCCCATATTATATAATATCGTGTAACCCATGACATAGCG